CATGTTCCTCTAATTCCACCTAGGAACGCCACCCCACCTCCCTCCCCAAAGCTGCTGCCTGCACAAGCAGCAGGCACTGGGTATGTCTCCCACCTTCAGCATGCGCACAGGACCCTATGTGCCCACAGACCCTGAACCAAAACCTTTTCCAGCTGAACACCATCCACAGCAGGAAGACTGAGGCGACTCCAACCCACAGAGAGGCCTCGGTTGCCACTTTACAATGGGGACATTCCTCCCTATCCCTGCCCCGAGACGCGGGGCTCCCCCTCTCCCCCACGCACCGCGGGCAGCAGCACAGCACCGGGCGCTCACCGGAACGAGCCGTCCGCTGTCGCCCTTCCCACACAGTCCAGGAGAGCATCGGAGGAGTTGCTGGCACTCGGCAGGCCAAGAGATGGCCCAGACCTCCCGAACAGGGTGAACTCATCCGGTTCTGCCTTGGCGAGGGTCCCGGGCTTGGACAGGCCGACGTGTCCTGTGGCGATGAACTCGCTGGAGACGGCCTTGGGCAGACCGAGGGCTCTGGGGGATGAGCCTGCCCAGGCCGAGATGTGGTCGCTGGACTCCGCTTTGGGCAGTGCCTCTCTCCGCTCCGCAGACAGCGCCTTCCCGGGGGCAGCTCGGTCCACGGGGCTGAGTTCTGGGAAGGATGACCAGCTCGGCGACTGGCTCGGCTTCACCGGCGACAACGCAGCGGCACGGGCCAGGGGGATGCCCGAGCCTGGGGACAGCGGCCGGCGCTCCACCGGGGACAGCAAGGTCGGCAGCGGGAACATCTGCGGGACCCCAGCCCCATCCGCCGGGGCCCTACCGACGTCCAGCGATAGGGGCTGGGCTGCCCGGCCGGGGACCCTCTCCTCGGGCCGCCCGCAGCCGTGCTGAGCCCCCTCGGGCTGCGAGCGCGGCGATCCGCAGGAGAGAGCCTCCAAGGCGGCATCGGGCCGGGAGCATCTCCGCGCACCGGAGCCGCGGCCGCCGGGGCCCGAGGCCGGCGGGGCCGTGCTGTCGGGGACGAGCAGCGCAGGGGAAGCGGCGGCGGCGGAGGGCGCGGGGCTCCGCGGGGAGACGGGCCGAGGACCGAGGGCGGCCGAGCCCAGCTCCGCGCTGCCCCGCCGGGCCGGCTCCATCTGCGGCAGAGCCACGGCGCCCTCCGGCACCGGCACCGGCCGCCGCCGGGCTCCGCGCCCCCTCCCCGCCACCCCCCCGGCCGCCGCCGCCGCCGCCGCCGCTGCTCTCACCTGGCGGCGCTCCCCGCGATGTCAGCGCCGCCCCCGCCCCGCGTCCCGGTCCCCCCCCCCTCCCTCCCCTCCCCAATTCCCCCGGGGACCGGGAGCGGCGCCCCCTCCCCCGGTGCGCGCAGCCCGTGTGGCCGGGTGCGCTACGTGCGGCTGCGCGTGCACGCGGCGCCGTGCGGGAGGTGCGGGGGGGGCGCGCACACGGCTGCACACACGCGCGTTGTGTGTGTGTGTGTGTGTGTGTGTGTGTGTGTGTGTGTGTGCACAGCCTGCCCTGCGTCTGCTGTGTGCGCGGTGTTTGTGTGCGCGTTATCAGTGTGTGCGCAGGGTTACGCAGAAGCGCAGCATCACAGAATATTAGGGATTGGAAGCGACCTTGAGACATCATCTAGTCCAATCATCCTCCTGGCGGGGCTGGAACACCAAGGTCAGGTCACACAGGAACACGTCCAGGTGGGTTTTGAAAGTCAGCAGAGAAGGAGGCTCCACAACCCCCCTGGGCAGCCTGTCCCTGTGTTCTGTCACCCTCACCATAAAGAAGTTTCGTCTCATATTTAAGCAGAACCTCCAATGTTCCAGCTTGCACCCATTGCTCCTTGTCCTATCATTGTGTGTCACCGAGAAGAGCCTGGCTCCGTCCTCCTGACACTCACCCTTTACACATTTATAAACGTTGATAAGGTCACCCCTCAGCCGCCTCCTCTCCAAGCTCCCTCAGCCTCTCCTTGTAAGGGAGATGCTCCACTCCCTTAATCACCCTCGTGGCTCTGTGCTGGACTCTCTCAAGCAGTTCCTGTCCTTGAACCGAGGGGCCCACAGCTGGATGCAACACTCCAGATGTTGTCACCAGGAGGAGGAGAACCTCTCTCGACCTGCTAACCACATCCCTTCTGCTACACCCCGGGATGCCATCGGCCTTCTTGCTCACAAGGGCACGGTGCTGGCTCATGGCCATCCTGCTGCCCACCAGGACCCCCAGCTCCCTCTCCCCTTCACTGCTCTCCAGCAGGGCCATCCCCAACTCACGCTGGTGTCTGGGGTTGTTCTCACCCAGATGCAGCACTCTGCACTTGCCCTCGTTATATTTCCGTAATTTCTCCCCGCCCAGCTCTCCAGCCTGTTGAGTTCCTGCTGGACGGCAGCTCGACTCCTCCCAGCTTTGTGTCAGCAGCAAGCTTGGTGGCAGCACACTCCATGCCCTCACCCGCGTCACCGACAAATACATTAAACAGCACTGGTCCCAGTACCCACCCCTGGGGGACCCCGCTGGGTGCAGGACCCCCACTGGGCTCCATCCCATGCCCCCAGCTCTGCCTTGTTGCCCTCCCCGCAGTGCACGTGTGCGCGCAGAGCGCATCAACGGGGTGTTCCTGGGCGTGCTCACAATTGGTGTGCGCGCACACGTGCTTGTGCACGCGCATCCGAGGCGCGCGCGCGCGGACGCGGGCTGCGCGCGCCTATTGCGCGCGGGCCGCGCGCCCAAGCGCTGCGAGCCGCGGAATGGGGGCGCGCGGGGGCGCGGCGCTCGAGGCGCGCCCCCGCGCCGCTGCTGTGCGCACGCGCGGCGGGGGCGCGCGCGCGCGATCCGCGACGTGGCGATGCTGCGGGCGGTGGCGCTGCTGGCGCTGCTGGCGGCGGCGGCGGGGGCCGAGCTGCGGGACCTGGCCCGGGGCAAGGTGGAGGTGGGTGCCGCGGGGTCGGTGCCGGTGATGGTGGTGATGGTGCCGGTGATGGTGACGGGCTGTGCTGTGCTTTTTCTCCCCGCAGACGTGCGGCGGGTGACGGCTGAACCGGCTGCGGGAGGTAGGTGGTGCCGGGGGGGGAGGCGAGGTCCCGCGGTAGGCGCGGTCCCGCTCTGACCCCGGGTCCGTTCTGCCCCCAGGTGAAAGCCTTCGTCACCCAGGACATCCCCCTCTAGTACCCGATGGGGGCTGCCGGGGGCTGCGAGGCACGGGGGGGGCTGTGTTGGGGAGGGGGGGGGCGGAATGGGGTGGGGATGGGACAGGGATGGGATGGGGATGGGGACGGGGATGGGAACAGGATGGGGACAGGACAGGATGGGATGGACAGGGACAGGATGGGACGGGAATGGGAACGGGATGGGATGGGACAGGGACAGGATGGGGATGGGATGGGGTTGGACTGGGGATGGGTAAGGATAGGGATGGAATCGGGATGGGATGGGGACAGGACAGGGACAAGATGGAGACGGATGGGATGGAATGGGGAAACAGCAGGATGGGACGGGAGGGGAGGGGATGGGATGGGACGGGACGGGATGTGGACGGGGTGTGGATAAGATGTGGAAGGGCAGGGGATGGAATGGGCTGGGACAGGACGGGATGTGGGGCTGCAGCAGGACGGGATACAGGGCAGAACAGGACATGGGATGGGATGGGAACAGGACAGAGCACGGGATGGGGTGATGGGACAGGATGGGGGCTGCGTAGTCCTGCTTGGTGCTGCCCGCTCCTTAACACGCTTGCAAGCCATAACCTGGAGATGAAGCACCTGCCTGGCGCCGACCCCGAGCTTGTACTCCTCAACCACAGATACGAGGAGCTGGAGGTGAGTGCAGCCACCAGAGCCCCTGTGTGCCGGTGCAGGGCACCTGGGCTGGGTCTGAAGAGGCTGCAATCCCTGTCTCTGTGCAGAGAATCCCCCTGAGTGACATGACCCGGGAGGAGATCAACCAGCTGGTGCAGAAGCTGGGCTTCTACCGCAAGGAGACACCCGATGCCCCTGTTCCTGAGGAGTTTCGGTTTGCCCCTGCTAAGCCTCTGCCCACCCTGCAGCCCCCCAAAGCTCCTGCAGCTGACAGCGAGACCCCACCTGAACGCGACGACAAAGAACATCCAGACCTCTAGTGAGCGGTGCAAAGAGAAGTGGCAGAAGGTGCTGCAGCCTCAGTGGGTGAGGATGAGGGTGTTAGAGCAGCTGCCTCTGCCTGTGCAGCTGGGAACAGGTCCATGGGGTGACAAGGGTTTGACCACGATGCAGGGAGATCTTTCCAGCTCCCCCCACTGTTGCTCAGTGTTCATAGCCTCTTCCCCGGGGATGCCCTGAGCAGTTCTAGACTTGAGCAGAGGCTGCCAGTGCACCGAGGACATCCGAGTGAGCCATAGCTGCCTGTTATTGCCTTCCCCCACCCCAGCCATTCTGACACGGCCAACCTGAAGGAGCAGTAATCTCATTGTTCCTTTACCATGCCCCGAGGTTTAGTCACCTCCTGGTGCTGGGCAGCGATATCCTACCTGCACAGGACAGGATGAAACCCTCAGCAGAAAGCCCCAGGTGCTGAGAGTCGATGTGCTGAGTCCTGGAGGTGGGAAAGCTGCCCCCTAGGAGGGTTCGGCTTCACACCACCAGCAGGGTTGCCTCATATTGAGCACACAGTAAAACTTTTGCTTACAATCTGCTGCACCTTGTCATCTTTCCAGGGTGGGCTCAGTGGGGCGTGCGTCAATGCCTGGAGCAGCTGGCAGAGGTGGAGGGGGGCCGCAGGGTCACCCTGGGTGCACGGTCACCTCTGGTTGGTGAGCCCTCAACTGGGGTGGGACACGAATGGTTCCTCTCAGCTCTGTATTGTCCCTGTGCAGCAGGAGCTGTGCTTGCGCAGAGGGGGCTCCATGCAGGTGGGGCTGCAAACACCCCCGGGCAAAGGGAGGCAGCCTTGCACACTGCAGGCAGGTTGCTCCAGGGGCTCCGCGCGGCCACGTTGCTTGGAGGGGATGATGGGGAGAAGGACTGGAGGCAGAGGCATTGCCCTATAGAATAAACCTTTATTGTCTGGCTGGTGTTGGTACACGTGTCAACGCAGGTGTAGACGGTGATGAAGGGGTGAGTGGCACTGAGCACAACGTGCCCAGAGCTGGGGAGGAGCACGGGGGCTGCCTAGACCCTGGCCCTGGCCCCTCACGCCCTCCCTGCTCCCCTCCAGCTCCCCAGCACGTGGGTGCTGCAGGTCCCTGCCGTGGAAGTGCCCTGGGCACGTGAGTGCAGTGGGAAGCAGGGTGTCAGCATGGGGCCATCCCGGAGAGGTGGCACCAAGCAGGGACTGTGGTGGGCAGAGAGGCTGGCTTCCTTGCAGGGGGGGGCCAGGAAAACCGCTCTCGGGCTGCCTGGAGACCAAGGCGCTCTGCCTCATGGAGGTACCAAAACCAGCAGTGCCCACCAGGGCCCCGGTTCTTGGAGGGGGGTCCGCGGGCTGAGCTGCGCTTACGTGGACCCACGCTGGCTCAGGGCCCGAGGGCACCACCATGCCCCAGCCTCCCTGGGGAAACAGGGGCACTGCCCACCTACAAACAATTCCTTTGAAAATGAATAACTTAATACGCTAGAGCATGGCGGGGGGGTGGGTAGGAGGAGGAGAACCAAGCTGGCTGCAGGGAGGGTGGCATCCTGGGCAGCACCCGCCTGGCACTGTCCTGCCCTGCCCACGCCTTCAGCCGGGCAGAGGCCGACCGAGGAGCTCCAGCGAGGCGAAGCAGGGGGTGACCCAAGTGATGGATCCCCCCCCCCCTCTTTTCCCCAGGACCAGCCCCGCAGCCTCTCCCAGGCCCTCCCGCCAGCCTTGGAGCGGAGCAGCAGCTCCTCCGCACACCAGCGTCCCTGCGGGGAGGGGGCAGTGAGGTGTCGGGCAGCTGCAGGCCAGGGCAGGCTCTAGCACTCTTTCTGCCGCATGCGCAACTCGTGGCGACGCAGGTGGTTGTAGAGGGACTGCACATAGGTGGAAGACGCACTTGGGGTCTGGCTTCTTCCCCATGATCATCATGTCTTCCACCTCCACCAGGGGCACGCAGTCTGCCAGCATCCTGTGGAGACGCAGGCCTCAGCACGGCTGGGGGGTTGCCCCTTCATGCAGGGGACTGGGATGGGGTCCGCCAGCGCTGGGTCCCTCTGTCCTTGGACTCACCCTGCCCTCCGTGCCCTTATCCTACCCCTCCTGCTGCCTCCGAGGCCGGGCAGCCTGCAGGCCACCGCTCACCCCTGCTGTCCCCATGCTCCCCTGCCACCCGCATACACCCTGCCCCAGCTCCTGCCCCTGCTCTCCGTGCCCGCAGTCACCCCCCCCCCAGCCCCTTTGGGCACGCCTGGCTGCGGAGGAGCTGCCTGGAGTGTCCCTGTCCCCCACTGCCCTTTGCTCCTACCCACCAGCCACATCTGCTGCACCAAGGGCTGTGCTGGGCCCTCCCAGCTGCTCCAGCCTCACGCTGCCCCTCTGCCATGAGCAGCACCCCAGCCAGCCCCAGCACCCTGCCCCTGCCATCCCACAGCCCTCCCAGTGCCCGGTGCCACCCCAAACCCTGAGCTGGGGCTCCCGTCCTGCCAGGCTCCCGGCAGATCCTCAGCCTCGGGGGCTGCTGGCACCGCTGGGTCAGGTACGGAGGGGAGAGTAGGGCCAGCTCCCACCCCATCCCACCCCATCCCAGGCTGTTGAGAGTTTAGGGGTGGCAGGGGGTGCCCAGGAGCAGAGCAGAGCTCCTGCTGCCTGCCCAGCTCCCAGCACCCCTCCCACAGTCCCAGCTGGGCAGCAGTGCAGGCTGTGATGGGACCCAAAATAACAGCCCCGTGCTGAGGCCAGGGCTGGGGAGGAGGAGGCTGAAGCTCAGCCTAGGCTGAGCATGGAACACAGCCTCACTTGGGACCTCCGTGCAGTGATCAGGGCTGGAGATAAAATGCTTCCAGGGTCCCGCAGTGCCTACACAGGCCTGGCTTCGTGGCTGGTGCAGGCTGAGCCAAGAAGGGGGCTCATTGGGGCTGCTCCAACCCTACTGGGAGGATCAGACAGCTTGGCTGACACCCTTCAGCAAAACCCTTCCCCCAGTCCTCTCCCCCTGTGCCAAGCTGTAGAGTCCCACCTGGATTTGCTGCATGCTTCAGTACCCCCAGCACAGGACCTGGAGGGGGGGACTCGGGTTTGGCACGGGCACAGCACAGAGCAGAACCACTGCTGGTGCCAGCCCTTGGGCAGGGAGGTGAAAGGAGCAGCGGGCTCGAGGAGAGAAACCCTTAGCTCCTGGGCTCCTCACGAGCGCTGCAGCCATGCTGGGGGGTTTCAGGCCAGCCCAGCAGCTGTGTTGGGGCCCTGCTTCTCTGCCTTGCTCCTTTGGTTAGCACTGCAGAGCTGGAACTCAAAAGGCCAGGGAAGCAGCGGGCCCTGAGCCCAGGACCTGGCTAGCACCAACCCCTCCACGTGATCCAGCAGCAGCCCAGGGGGGGCCACGCTCAGGGCCTTGGAAAAAAAGCACCCGCCTGGTCACAGGAGGCCCCTGTTATACCGCCAGCCCAACCGTGGGCCCAGTCCCAAGGGTGATGGAAAAGCTAAGGCAGCACGGGGAGACAGTCTCTGTCCTTATAAAGGCATTGTTTGGGCCTCGGTGTGCTCGTGCAGTGCGCAGCCGGGGAGAGGAGGCTCCAGCGCCAGCTGGGATGCCCCTGAGAACAGGCACAAACAGTGCAAGAAGAGGCAGGACCGGAGCCTTGAGTCACACTTTCCAGGCTCCCCTCTCTTTCCCATATAAGAGCAGGCAGCACCTTGGCAAGGGGGAAGGGAGGGAGAGAACATCCTCTGCCACGCCTGACCCCCACATCAGCCTCCACCCGCCAGGGCAGGCAGCCCTGATTTTTGGGGGAGGAGGGCAGCAGCAAACGCAAGCGGTGGGGCTGGGGGGGGAGGTTAGGGGGCGATGGGTGCTCACCCTCACCTGGGCACAACTGCTATGGGTAAAATGCTCAGCACCCGGGCTGGGGTGGGTGAGCAGGAGGCCAGGGAAGAGCCCCAGCAGCACCGCTCCCACCAAGACCCCTGTGGCTGGAGATGCATCGCCCCCCACCCCAGCTGCCACGCTCCCATCCATGGCCACCATCTCCCCCCCGACCCCCAGGGCTATTCTGAAAGCAGAGAGGAGGGCTATCTGCCCTCCACCCCGCTCCTGGCAAGAGGGCCACGGCTCTGCCCCAAAAAATGCCACCAGAACTCGACCCTTGCCCACCAGCATCCCCCATCCTCTCCCCCAGCCGCAGCTCCCCGGGCCCTCCTGCCGAGCACATGGCCAAGCTGCAGGACGCGGGCAGGTGGGTGCGGGGGGGTGGTTAATTTGACAGCAAGGTTCTCACCATCGCTCCCGGGGGGTGAAAATGGGCTACGACTTTTTGGTTTTTACCAGCCCCTTCTGGACCAGGCAGCGATAGAATTCCTGAATGTATGTGTACACACACTTCCAATCCGGCTCGCGCATCCGGACCATGTCCTCCAC